CTAACTTGATTTAGCCAGATATTTTGTCAAATACTGACACTGGTCCCCACTACAGCATTTAACACTATACTGGTTTGGTTACTTATTGTCGAGCCCTGCTGTATAATTATTTTTGAAAAAACTCTATAAATTTAGTTCTTTTTTTTTCACAACTCGCTGTTGCAATCTGTATTTTGTGTTTCTGTAACGTTTCTTTTAGACAAAATGAATAGAAAAACTTTACCTGTCTCCAGCTCCACCTTAAGACGGAGGACCCATGTAGACGTAGATAAACGACTTAGACAAATTAGGGATGACTGCACGAATTTGACTGACTTTCAAATAACAACAGATAGGGAACGTGTATATGTCAACAGCACGTTTTTTTGAAGACAGTACAGACAATCCAACTGAAACTGGACTAGTCTTTAGTGAGGAGGAAGGTGGCATGGAGGTAGATGCAGACATACAGGAGGGTTTCGTAGTTGGCAGCTTTGATAGGCCGATTCAGAACATTCAGATAATGAACTGTCTGAGACATTTTCACTCTCTGACAGCATTTCCAACTGGGCCATACACTTTGGAATTTCTTTGGTTGCTTTGACAGCACTATTGTGCATACTTCGCATTTGCCATCCTGATCTTCCAAAGGATGCTAGAACCCTCCTTAGGACTAAGACAAAGTACTCTATCATAGAAAGAGCTGGGGGACAGTACCACTATTTTGGTATTCTGACATCACTTAGAAGTACGCTGTCTAAATACATACACACACTTGCAGACAATTTATGTTTGAAGTTACAAATTAACATTGATGGACTTCCTTTGTTCAAAAGCTCTAGTCTGCAACTGTGGCCCATTCTTGGACTGCTACTGAGTGTTCCTATGAAAGAACCAGTAGTGATAGGTTTATTCTGTGGATCAAAGAAACCAAGCTCAGCAAAAGAGTTTCTTGAAGATTTTGTAACTGAGTTACAACAGCTTGAAAAAGGCTTTGACATAGAGGGTAAGACATTGAAGCTCGAGCTGGACACAGTCATTTGTGACACACCAGCCAGGTCCTTTGTTAAAAACACAAAGAACCATAATGGTTACCATGGTTGTGACAAATGTTCTCAGCCTGGTAAATACATTAACAGACGCATGACATACCCATGTACAGACTATGCTCTAAGGACAGATGATACATTTGAAAGAATGATTGATGAGATGAGGTTCATCATCATGAGGGGCCACATCCATTTTATGGCAGTAGTGTTGGCATGGTTTCACAATTCCCTCTAGATTATATGCATTTGGTTTGTTTAGGTGTGGTTAGGCGTTTGTTGAAAATTTGGCTCCGGGGTCCTCTGAATTTCAGAGTACCTGCAAACATAATTGAAAGAATGTCAGCTAAACTGGTAGAAATGCGTCCCTATATTCCTGTGGAGTTTGCTCGAAAGCCCAGATCGCTGGAAGGCCACTGAATTGAGGCAGTTTCTGCTGTACACAGGACCTGTAGTATTAAGTACCTTTCTGGACCGAAATATGTACAACAATTTCATGCTACTCTTCTCTGGTATTGCTATTTTAGTAAGTCCTAGACTATCCTACCACACACAGTATGCTCGCACCTTGCTTAGATATTTTGTTTCACACTTTGGGGAAATGTATGGCAAAGATCAACTTGTGTATAATGTACATGCTTTGGTCCATCTAGCAGATGAAGTACAACAACATGGTTGTCTTGACTCATTTTCTGCATTTCCCTATGAAAGTTACCTACACAAACTAAAAAGGCTTGTCAGAAAACCAGACTTTCCTCTTGCCCAAATTATTCGTCGATTGTCTGAGATGAGAATTACTGACACTCCTTTAAATGGTGCCTCTTTTAAAAAACAGCACTTTGTTGGGCCACTTGTAGATGGATTGTCAGTGAAAGCACAGTATGGTGAGATGGCCTGTGACAAGTGGACTGTTAATGTTTCAACCGGTAATAATGTCTTTGTCATTGGAAAAGAGATTTGCATGATACATAACATTGTGGAATGCAGTGATGGAGTCTACATAGTGTACAAAGAATTTTCAGAGAAGTCTTTGTTCTTCACTTACCCATTCAATTCTGACTGTCCATACTGAATCTGAATATCCATACTATGTCAGAAACATTGGATATATTCAAGTGTGTTAAAGCTTCAGAGCTTGTCCAAAAATGTGTTGTTTTACCTCATAGGGATGGTTTTGTGGCCATACCCTTATTTCATACATTTTAGGAATATCTCCACAGGTAAAAGGTTTAGTTCACCCAAGAATTACTAATATTTTAAGATCATTTACTCACTCTCATCTTCATTTTTATTTATTTTAATTATTGGGTAAACTGAAACTTTAAGGTTAAAGAGGCTTAACAGTTTTTCCTTTTTTATAATTACCAGTTAAAAGGTAAAGGCATTTTCAGATTATTCATTCTTAGCTTAGTTTTTTTTTTTTCTGGGGAGAATGATAGTTTTAGTTTTAGCTCTTGTGTTCTAATATTAGCTGTAAGAATTGATGCGGTTGCACATTAGTTTTGATGACAGGTGTTTATATAGAATTAGGAGGACAAATACAATGACAAACAAGCAGCATTTAGCGGTGTTCAAGCAGTTAAGGCCTTTAAGCCCGTTAAGCACAAAAGCATCAAAAGACATTAAGTTTTATGTAGCAAGCATTTAACCATTGACATCATAGATGGAATAGACCATGTTTTAGCATGATTTACCATGATATACCAAATTTAGTGTGATTTTTCATGATCTACCATGTTCCAGTATGATTTACCATGAATCTAGCATGATTTAACATAGTTTACCATGATTAACCATGTTATAGGATGATTTACCATGATATACCACATTCTAGAATGATTTACCAGGATTGTAGCATGATTTACCATGATTCATCACATTGCTAGCATGATTTGCCATGATACACCATGTAATAGTATTTTTTACTATGATTTACCATGTTTCTATCGTGATTTACCATGATTTACCACATTGCTGAATTAATGTGAAGTGCAAATAAAAATGAAGTGCTAAACTCTGACAAAAAATGATTGTGTTATAATAGTTAACATGGAAAAACTGGTTTGCTTTAGTGCTTTGATTTACTGTTGAAAATCAAGTGTGTCAAAATGAGAGTGAGCCAATAAGTGGTCTTCTACTGCCCTCTGCTGGCCATTCTACTTATTAATAAAGTGTTTTCACAGGTGCTTTTGCACTCATATGTAGACATTTGCTCACACACACACACACACAAAGTCATTATGAAAATATATTTAAATGGTCTATAAGCATTTAATGTCTTTGCAAGCTATTAATCAGATTATTCAGAATTTATTCAGAAACATGGGACTACACACACACACACATTCTATTGTAGATTAAACTGTCTCATTCAGGGTTCACATTTGTCAATGTGACAATAAATTTTGACTAAATGTGATTGTAAATGTTAAAATAGTGATTATGTTAATTCTAAAAATGAATTATAGAACAATGATAGTCAGCATTATGACAAAATTACTATTTTAAACAGCAGGGGGCAGTAAAACACCACTTATTGGCTTAATATGCCACTATATTCATATCATTTTCACCTTTTTAACTGTTATAGAGGCAAATTGTGTCCGATCTGTCTAAAATTTGTCAAGCTTGTTTAGAGTGATATGTCCTGACCTTTTTTTAAGAAGATCTGAGCATTCATTGAAGAGATATAGGTTTTTGGGGACATTTGGTCAAGGCTACATATTGAAGTGACCCTATTATAGCCATCCAAATTAAGAAGTTATACCTTTTCTGATCATTATTGATCTAGAGAGTCCAGAGAATTGTACTGCACTGGTTTTAAACATTATGATATGAAAAGTATACGATCATAGATGGAAAAGACAATTTACAGCCAATACAGGCAATTTACCATAGGAAATGTATGGTTTTAAAGCTTTTTAACAGTTATAGCGCCACCTATGGTCCGATCTCCATGAAACTCTGCATGCTTCTTCACCATGTTAGGACACATGTGCTCATCAATTTTTGTGAAGTTCTGAGTATTTATGATTTATAGGCTTTTGAGTGTATTTTGACACGCCCCCTTTTCTAAATGACCCTGTTACAGTGAACCAAAGGGCAAAGTTCAACTTTTTTTTGATAATTATTGATCTAGAGAGTCCATAGAATTGTCCTAGACTGGTCTGGTTCCGATCAGGCAAAAAACCAGGGACTAGTTCGCAAAAGTAGGTATTGGACAAAATTGGCCATAACAAATTTTTTTTTGCTCAAATCGAGAATCCGAGATATACATCTTGTCCGTCTTGAGCCAAGGGACACAGTGGTGTACTCTAGATTCTAGGTCAAACGGTCGATGAGTTATGGGCAATTTAGTACTTTTGGTTGCTGTAGCGCCACCTATGGGCCAATCGGGGTCATACTCTGATAGGTTCTCCCCAAACTGAGGCCCTAGCACCTGGCCAGGTTTTAAGTCTCTAGGCCTTACGGTTTGGGCTGCACGATGCGTTTTAGGTTTTTTTTTTTTTTCAAATAGCAATTACAATAGGTTTTCAGCACTTCGTGCTTGAACACCTAAAAATGACATTACCATGCATCATCACAAACACTGCAGTCTGAAGCTGGATAACAATTAACTGTAAGTACTTTACTTTACTGTAAGTTGCTTGTTCAATGAGTTCAAAGTCATGTTTGTTTATATAGCACTTTATACAATACATATTGTTTCAAAGCAACTTCACAGTAAGTTGACAGTTCATTGTTGATTCAATTGAGTTATATAAGGCCACATTTACACTGCAGGTCTTGATGCCCAATTCTGATTTGATGACCATATCTGAATTTTTTGGACCAGCTTCTTTCATTTAAAAGTGACCCATATGCAATTACACCATGCACTTGGTGAAATAACCCAAGGTAGATGTACTGACCTGTTCTTGAAACAGGAAGTTAAATTTCTATGGTGCTGTTTGTTACTTCTCGTTTAAGGATGTTTCACTTAATTGAGTTCCTGCTAAACAAAACCGTAGCAGTGGTGCCACAAAATTGGTACAGTGATGGAGTTACCTGCTGGCCAAACTACAAAAATGATGAGAGCGTGAACAGGGCAGTGAAAAATTCTGAGGAACCTGGACCTGACTGGAAAAAATATGATGCCAGAGTTATTAAATCATGTGGTATTTTCATTTTAAATAACCTAAATGGCTTTTGTAAGCAAATATCAAAGTATTTTGGCAATATGTTATATGGGAAGAAAACCCTTTTAATTACATTGTCTCATATTGTTCTGTTGTCTATAGTTCTGTTCTTTTTTACTCTATTAATTTGAAGGTCTACTGAAGTTTAACATGTAGGCTATTTCATTTTTAGATGACTACTTTGTGGCACGACAACTTTTGAAGAAAGCTCTAAAGTGCAACACATCAGATCTACAGTCTGAAGAGGAAGAGGAGGAGATTCGGCCAAAAAGAAGGCCAAAGCCGATGTTAGTATACGTATATTATCCTTTATATTTTATATGAACTTTTTGGCCTCTAAATTTTCTCAAAAACATAATTTAGTGTTATGATATGATGAACCCGACAACCACCACACGTAAAGCCAGCTGAAATAGAGTTAAATGGACAGTATGTTTTCTGGTTTCTCAGAGAAACCATTCTCAACCAATTTCACTGATTTACTTAAGTTATTAGGCCAGTGAAAATGTTTATGACAGACGTTTTTATCCAAAGCAACTTCTTGCTTTCCCTGCGAATCGAACCCATGACCTTAGCATTGCAAGCGCCAACACTCTACTGTTTGAGCTACAGGAAGGCTTTATATTTATTATTATTAATAAGAGTAATTAATAAGATGTTCACTGCTTGTTTTTTTCCACCCTAATTTATAGTCATTTCTTGGGAGACTCTGATGAGAGCGAGGAGGAAGATGCTCATAAAAAGAGAGGCAAACTTTAAACACAAACATCAGCTCCTGTTATCGCACCACCACCTTTTATCCTAGGTAGCGGCACAGCTGCTCCACCTCCACCCATTTCTCCACCTCCACCCATTTCACAGCCTCATTGTTCACAGAGACCAGCAGAAGAGCAAACCCCTTCTGCAAGCAGGGTCTACAGACCTACCAGGAAGATGTGGATCAGACAGTATTGCCTGCTCTGGTGAGCAATACGTCATTAGATACAAGACTCAAATAGAGTTTATTTTGTCAGCTTTTTTATTTTTATGCATACTTAGTCCTGTGTCAAATTTACTATTTAACTTTTATCATATTTAGTCAAACTTATCCTGTTTTTGTTTAGTTCTTTTTTTAGTCAACTAAACTTATGGGCATTTTAATCTAGTTTTTAATTCAATGAAAACTTACATTTTTTGACATGCTATATAATGGTTAAAATGATAATCACTTAATCAATCATTTAGTTGAGCTTCTGTTTGTGTTCTCTGATCAATGCTTGTATGTGATTAGAATCCTAAATTAAATTATTTAAGGAATCTATAAAAAAATAGTATATATTTCTCATCTGTTCAGTGAATTGTGCCTTAATGAGTTGACCAATGCAGAATGAAATTTATTTATATATTACAAACTTTTTTCTTTCTTTTTTTTTTACAGCTGCAGAAGTCAACATATTAAGCCTGCTGGAACTAATAAAGCATCAACAAGAGCAACTTATAACTAAAGTAAATTACTTGACGAGCAAGTTGAATCCAGCAGGCCAAGACATGGAAATGCCTGAAGACCCAGTTGTGTTTCCATTAACATCCATGACAGAGGTTGAGAATTTTGAGGAATGGCTCAAAAATCCTGCACATAATCAACTGAAGTTTATTGTGGTGAGTTGTTTTTCCCAATCTCATTAAGATAAGTTTACATTACATAGTGTTTTACTGTTAAAGTATGTTGATATTTTTCTAATTTTGTTCAGAGTCGATTCTTTCTTTTGGGAGAAAATTACTTTATTTATCATGCATATACAACTTTGTAGAACGTTTACATTTCACAAACAGCTATGTATTTTACACTGCATGAAAGGAAACATTTAAAAGCCATAATAGGGGCACTTTAAAATTACCTTGGGATTTTGTTATAGTTAATTATTTTTAATGTTTTATGCAAAATATTTTTATCAGCCATTTTATAAATGTTTTGAATGGTCTTCCAGCCAATCAGAAAGTCTTGTTCTTATGCCTTTAATAAATAACAGATTTTTGTTACATTTTAGATTTCCTCCCTGGCAACTATTGGGGGCCATGACACGAAACGTGTCACATGGAACATCCTTTCCCGCATGTTCCATGACGATGTTGGGAGGAGGATCAACTGGAAGGGCATGAATGGGAAAAAATCATTCAACCAGATGGAGTCAAAGAAGTTACTCCTGTGTAAGTAAATGTATAAACAGGGTACCCGCGGGTCTTAAAAGCATTGAAAAAGTATTTACGCTTGAGGTAAAGCAAGTCAAATTTGTAGTTTTCTTATGTCTCATTTGAACTACAGAAACGTGACCCGATCTGGCAATCTTACATAGTGTGGTTATAGCAGATATTGGACCGCCATTGGATCCAGAAGTGCCTTTCACCCTGTTACGACTTGAACACTGAAATTATTTTGGAAACATTATTTTAAGTTAAAAAAAGGATGCACAACATCAGGAAGATCAGGCCTTTCCTAACTGAGCATGCAACACAACTTCTCGTCCAGGCCCTGGTCATTTCTAGGCTTGATTACTGCAATGCTCTTCTGGCTGGACTTCCATCATGTGTTACTAAACCTCTACAAATGATCCAGAATGCTGCAGCTCGTCTTGTCTTCAACGAGCCCAAAAGGGCCCACGTCACTCCTCTGTTCATCTCTCTGCACTGGCTACCACTCGCTGCTCGCATCAAGTTCAAGGCTTTGACGCTTGCTTACAGATTGACCACAGGTTCAGCTCCCTCCTACTTCCACTCACTACTACAAGTCTACATCCCTACCAGAAGCCTACGATCGGTCAATGAGCGACGGCTCGTGGTACCATCACAGCGGGGCACAAAATCACTCTCCAGAACATTCTCATTCACGGTTCCATGCTGGAGGAATGATCTGCCCACCCTCATCTGGAATGCAGAATCCCTGACAGCATTCAAAAGACAACTGAAAACTCATCTCTTCCGGGAGCACTTAACATAACATAAAAAAAAAAAAAAAAATCCTTTCCTCTAAATCCTCGCTTGCCTGGCTTATGCTACTCCGAGCTATGTCCGAACTTTGTATGTTGAGCACTTCTTGCGTTGTTTTTGCCTCTTCACGATGACTCGCTTGGTTTAGTCCTCAGTTGTAAGTCGCTTTGGATAAAAGCGTCTGCTAAATGACTAAATGTAAATGTTGTCTATCCTCTAAAAAACAACAACCTGGTAGCTTCAATGTGATTTCATGACATTTAATGAAAATCTGCTTGTGTATTACAGGTGCTGTGAGAAAGAGCCAAGTCTCCCGTGCCGCCACCGATGACGACATTACAAAACATGTAATCCGGTGGTTCAACCTGGCATCAGATAGGGGAAGCTCAAGGAGCCGTTCCCCTGTCAGCAAACCTTGACCCAACAGTAGTGAAAAGAAATACTTTATAATTTTAGTGTAATGTTTTTCACTAAATAAAATGATGTTCTTGGTACAATTCATGGTTGATTTCATTTTTTCTGTAATGTCTATTCAATGTGTACATGAATAAAACTATAAAAAAAAATAGGAAATAAATTTATAGTCTGTAATAGCCTATTTTTTTATTGTTACTAGCTAAAAATTATTAATGTTTAATGATCTCATGTTTTATTCATATTAATAAAGGCAGATACATTAATAACTATTCAAGTTTTTATAGAGCAATCCAGTCTTTCTAATGTTCGTCCACCATTACATTTTAAATATATCTGTAGCTATAGTTTTGGCCAGATAATTGGGATCTGAAAGGTTTCCTGACCAAAATGATCAGATCCGCAGCGGATACGCTGCTTCAAAAACGGGTCCAGATCGGATCCGCGGCGGATAAGCTGCTTTATCAGCGGATATGGGTAGGGTCTGCCGCGGATCTGGTCTGGATTCGCAATCCTTATCTGTTCCGGATACGTTGCGCTGTGCAAGTGGACTCCATTCCGGACCCGTTTTGCGGATCCGTTCCGGAGCTTATGGTACCTCCGCGCCGTATCCGGTCTGGAGTCAGTTTGCTATCTGGGTAACCAGTTACCAACTCTCCAATTAGGATGTAACATATTGTGTATAGTAGGCTACCCACTGTTCCCCAAACGGGCATATTTATCAGTAATGAACTTAGAAGGGGCAATAAAGCACTCATAGTCACATTGATAATGTCAAAACTACTTTACCAGTCCAGTGAGGGTTGAAAGGAAGGCTTCGGCCTTGTTTGAGTCCTTAAATGACTTCTGCGCTTTGTTTACCTTGAAGAACAGAGTAGCTGGATAAGCCATCCTAAAGCGTATGTTCATCCTAATAAGTTCAGCGCAGACCGTATTAAACGCACGTCTTGCAGCCGAACGTCTGGAGGTACATCTGGGACGATGCGCAGTGGCCGACCCTCATACTGAAGATTCCGAAGGCGTTTCACCGCTGCCATTATCTTCAGGACATCACTGCAGTGTTGGAGTTTGATGACCACAGCACGCGGGTGATCCTCTTCAGGTACTTCAAAGCCCCGATGGGCACGGTCAACGGATATAGTCTGGACGGGTAGCTGCAGGAGCTTGGGAATAAACGCCTCGAAAAACGCGAGCGGGTCACTCCCTTCAATAGACTCCTTCAGATTTAACAGCCTGATGTTCTTCCGTCTTTGCCGACATTCCAGTTCAGATAATTTATCTTTCAGCCCCTTGTTCGCTTTCTCCAACGCGTCCAATCGGTCTTTTATCGGAGCGATGTCATCCTCCAGCTGGGAGATGCGCGTTTCGGCCTCGGCTTGTCAAGCGACAAGTGCCGCTGTCGTAGCCGCGGCATCATCAATGCGCTTCATAATGTTTTACACTTTAGTCTCAAGTTTCCCAAGCGACTCGTTTACAGACCGTAGGATGCGCTGTGCCTCCTCTGCAACCGCTGCAGAAATACTCTTTAACAGAGCCTCGGTCATCAAAAGAGGAGCTACTTCAGGGCTAGCATTAGCACTAGCACCTACGCCGGTGGCACTAAAGTCTTCTGAAGCATTTCGGTCTTTGGGCAGTTGTTTTGGTGGTTTGGGCATTTTTGCAAAATACCTTATTAAAATCCTTGGCAATCAAGATTAGAGTGCAATCAGTAGGCAAATAAGGTTAAGCCAAATAAGGTTTAGTTTTGGGTGGAGAGAGGTGTCTCTGGATCTTCTCTATTCTTTGAAGTTTGTTCTTCTGTTGACTAGTGGACATCTAACCTCATTATTCTTTTTCTCTTCTCCGGGGATGGAACATGATTGAAGATTGAAGGAACATAGTCAGGTGACAAAGGGTTGTCACTCTTTTTTCTTAAAACATAAGTACATAGAAACAGCATCAGAATCAGCTTTATTGGCCGGGTTTGAGTAAACAAAAAAGGAATTTGACTCTGGTTAATCTTTGCTCTAAAGTAGGCTAGGCTACAACACTCACTTAACATATAAAGAATAAAAACAGAGGACAGTAAGAAATATAATAAAAAATACTGTTAAGTGTACAGTATAAAAATGCAATAGAACTTACCATTTTACAAAAAAAAAATATACAAAAGAGAGGGAGGGAATAGTGCAATATCAGTCAGTATAGTCTGAGATTTTAGGATTTAAATATGAATACAGTGCTTCTTTTAGGTTAGCCAACATTAGCCTTTGTAATCCACACAAAATCTATGCCATACTGCATAGGTAGAACTTGCCTTTTCGTAATAACTAATGGTTGTGGCTAGAAAGGAACGTAGCTAGCTAACGTTAGCTCTTGCCAGGGGTGGTAAAAGTACTCAAAAGTTATACTCGAGTAAAAGTATATATACCTAAATAAAAAATTACTCCAGTAAAAGTAGAAAGTCCTCCATTCAAACATCACTTGAGTAAAAGTACAAAAGTATCCGATTTAAAACGTACTTAAGTACCGAAAGTAAAAGTAAATATTCAAATTAACTGTAA